CCGGGTGAACGGCAGCTGCCCTAATTACTCCAGCTCGCCAGGTTCCGATCTCGTTTGAAAAGGACTCCTGGGACGCAGCCTTTAATAACTACCAGTAAACAGGCAGGAAAATCGATACCTGGTAAATAGAGCCCTGGAGAGAGGGATGCCTGGGCTGGCTGGTCCTGACCTGGCTGGGAGGAGCTCCCGGAGTCCTTTGTTGCAGAGCTGGCCAACGCCGACCTTTGGAACCGTGTCCCCGCCTTTCCCGGGACCCCATGTGCACTTTGGCTCCTGCCCTCCACGTCTGCACTCCCTCTCCATCAAGACCAGCCCCTCCCCTTTCCCACTCCCTCTGAGCCCTGACCTGTGCCAAGTAGGTTGCTTGTTTCAGTTGCAGACGTGTCCTTTGACGTGCCTTGTGCCTAGTGCTGGGAACAAAAACATAGATGTGACCAAATCCTTGCCCTCCTGAAAGTCATCAACCAGTGAGAGAGATTAAGAACAAGAACAAAAACAAATAGCTTATTGACAGCACAAGGACAGACATGCAATAAAAAGCAGCATGTGCTAGCTGTAACAAACAGAATGGAAAAGCACTTCCTGGAGGAGGTGGGCATGTAGAGGGTTTTGTTGGGTGAATAGGAGTTCACCAAGTGACTGAGGGGTGGGAAAGGGTGAATGTGGTAATGTAAATAATAATAACAGCATCTTAGCCAACATTCATCAAGGACTTACTGTAGCCAAGCTCTCTGCCAAGCACCTATAGTATGCATTATCTTATTTTGTCCCACAGTAATTCCTTGGGGGGTAGGTGTTAATACCCCCATTTGACAGATGATGACACTGAGGCTAAATGTGGAGCCGGAATTTGCACATGGCTTGTGAGACATCTGAGTTGTTTCTCTCAACCACTTCACTCCGCATCTTCTGCCCCTGATCCCGCCCTACCCAGCTCAAGACCTGGCGCACAGACGTGCTTAAATATGGCAAGTTCCCACCCCTTCCCTTCCCTTCCTATCCAGGGGTTACACCTTCCAAGTAACACAGCGCCTTAACCCTTACTGGGAGCCCCATCAGACATGAGGATCATCTGTCATGAACTCTCATTTTGCAGATGGGGAAACTGAGGCTCTGAGAGAGGAAGACCAGGCCTCAGGACCAAAGACAGAGCAGGATCCCGGATTTTCCCTCTAACTAATCCCCTCACAGGCCTGCCCATTGTCAAGGAAAAAAATCAATTTTCGCACACTCAATTAAAATAATAAAGCAGACAGGAGAAAGAGGAGGCCCAGGGCGGGAATTGTCATGTAACTGACTGGATGTTATAGGAGCCTGGGGATCCCATGCCCACCATGCCCCCCTCACTTGCCTCCACTACCCCAGCTCTCTGGGCGCTTGGCAAGGGCCATGAGTCATCCATAGCCCTTGGGATGCAAGCAGAGGAGAGAGCAGAGAAGCCTTTTCAGCCCTGGGTAGGGACCCACTGAAGGTTGGGCATAGTCTGAGCCAGAAGAGAGAAGCCGGAGCAAGGCACGGGGAGGAAGGGGTCCTCGGGATGAGCCATGATGGGCCCTCATCCATCTGGCTGCAGATTCCAGGGCCAGGCGCCCTGGGGTTGTGCCAGTTAACAGTAGAAACACCCTCAAGATAGAGAGGACCCACTGCGTGCCAGGCACTGCGCGAGGCAGGGAGTAAAGCAGGCAGGATCCCTCACCTTGGGGGTGAGACAGAGAGCAAAGCAAGTCTGTAGATGAATGTATCACGAGGCAGCCCTGAGTGCCAGGGATAGACCCTGAGAAAGGGAGAAGGATGGCAGTGGGAGCACAATGGCAGGGTGGTCTTTCCAAAGAGCGGATGCTCCAACAGAGACCTAAAAGCAAGGAGGGAGGAAACTGTGAGAATGTGTGGAAGTGGCGAGGTCATATTCCAGGTGGAGGGGACAGTATATGCAAAGGCCCTGAGGGTGGACACTGATTTGGGTCATTGAGCAGCAGCACCTGGGAGTGAGTGAGGGGGCACTCTGTAGGCCCGTGGGGCCTTGCAGGAGCTTTATAGACCATGCCGTGCTTTGCGGATCATGGCCAGGACTTCGACTTTGACTCCAAGTAAGCAGGGAACCGTGGGAAAGTTTTGAGCCAAAGAAGATGTGATCTGACTTGAATGAGATGCCTCTGGCTGTGGTAGAGGGAACAGACCCTACAGAAGGCAAGGACAGAAGTGGAGAACCGTCATGAGTCTCCTGCCGTGGTCCAGACAGGAGGGACATAGTGACTTAGACCAGACAGATTTGGTGTGCTGGGGAGAGGGGGAAGTGGTCAGGTGTGGGATGTATTTGAAGACAGAGATGACAGGATTTTACTAATAGGTTGGACATGGGGTGTGACATGAGAAGTCAGGGGTGGGAGGAGCGCAATGGCAGGGTGGTCTTTCCAAAGAGCGGATGCTCCAACAGAGACCTAAAAGCAAGGAGGGAGGAAACTGTGAGAATGTGTGGAAGTGGCGAGGTCATATTCCAGGTGGAGGGGACAGTATATGCAAAGGCCCTGAGGGTGGACACTGATTTGGGTCATTGAGCAGCAGCACCTGGGAGTGAGTGAGGGGGCACTCTGTAGGCCCGTGGGGCCTTGCAGGAGCTTTATAGACCATGCCGTGCTTTGCGGATCATGGCCAGGACTTCGACTTTGACTCCAAGTAAGCAGGGAACCGTGGGAAAGTTTTGAGCCAAAGAAGATGTGATCTGACTTGAATGAGATGCCTCTGGCTGTGGTAGAGGGAACAGACCCTACAGAAGGCAAGGACAGAAGTGGAGAACCGTCATGAGTCTCCTGCCGTGGTCCAGACAGGAGGGACATAGTGACTTAGACCAGACAGATTTGGTGTGCTGGGGAGAGGGGGAAGTGGTCAGGTGTGGGATGTATTTGAAGACAGAGATGACAGGATTTTACTAATAGGTTGGACATGGGGTGTGACATGAGAAGTCAGGGGTGGGTCCAAGGATTGGGGGTTTGGGGCTTGAGCAGCTTGAAAGATGAAGTTGCTTAACTGCAACAAGGAAGATTTCAGGAGGAACGGGTTTGGGGTTAGGGACAGGAAGATCACAGCTGTGCTATGGCCGAGCTGAGTTTGAGAAACCTGTTGAACCTGTATGGGAAGCTGCTGAGGGAGCTGCTGGAGACACAAGTCTGGCTTTCAGGAGAGAGGATATTGGAATCATCAGAGTACAGACAGTATTTGTCTTGATGGATTCTTTTAAGACCATCATAAGTAAGGTCTGCTTGTGCCCATTTTAGAGATGAGAAAACTGAGGTTCAGAGTGATTGTATCACCTGACCACAGACACAGAGCTGGAAAGTTAGGCAGTTGGGATTTGAAGTGAGGTCTGCCTGCCTCCCAGCCCTGGGGCCCCACTCAGACCTTGTGCTCTGTGGCTCTTATCACTGAATCCTCCCAACAGCCTGGTTTGAGAGGGGAGGGGTGGCTTATGGGTTAATATCACCTTCATTTTCAAGATGAGGCCCCCGAGACTTAGTGAGACTGAAGGGATTTGCCCACAATTGAGGAGCAGTCAAGGGTGCAGCCTTCCTGCCATTGTGTCACGTGAACCTTGCAAAAGAATCTCTCCACACTGGCCGCAAGGCACAGAGCAGGCTAAAGGCACTGAGAAGTCCTGCAGCCTGGACGTTCATCTCTGCTTAACCCAGCATCCACGGAGCCTTGCTCTCAGAAGCATCTAGAACTGAGAAACATGGAGCAAAGGTTGGGAGCCAAACTTCAGGGCCTGTTTTTTTAAAATGGGGGCGCGAATACCCACCTGGCTGAGGTTATTATATGGTTATATTCATTTGAAATGACCTCTCAGCGTGGAGCTCTCTGCAGGGCAGACAGGTAGTGTGTTTGTTGAAAAAGGAACAAATAAACAGATGTATGGAAAAAAGGAATGAATAAGTGGATGAAGGAATGGATCAATGCAAGGATAGCAAAAGGCATGACTGACTAAAATAACCGAGTCCCAAATGAATCAATGTCTGAACTAAATGAATTCATTCATATATTCAGCAACTATCTAGTGAGCACCTACTGTGAGCAGGCACTGGGGATACGGCCGTGAATAAAACAAGTCCTTGCCTTGTGGCAGTGACATTCTAGTGGGAAGAGACAAACAGAAAACAATATAGATGTGTAAAATATAAAGTATACCAGATGGAGAAAACCCGAGCAGGGAAGGAGAGGGGAAAGAAGGTATGTAGAGGGGAAAGATGGCATGTAGAGGTGGTGCACATTTTTACACAGGATGGTGGTAAGTGAAGAAATGACTGAAATCATGGATAACATTGACGGGGGAGAATAAATGCAGGTATGAATGGCAGCAGGCATGGGTGATTGGGCTAATGAAAGAATTATTGAACCAATGAACTGAGGAATACATGAATGCGTGAACCAAGACATGAATAAAGGAATGAAAGAATGTATAAATGAATTTGTGCTTGAAGTAATCAACGAATGGATGGACTGATGACTGAATGAGTGGACGGATGAAGGAAAAAAGGGCCACTGGTGTCTGCACGGAGGTGACCTCTGTTGATCCCTGCCCTCACCCCAGGCGTTGACTCTGCTTCCCAGCTCCCCTCTGGTCTAAACAGATCCCACACCAGCTTCGCCCTTCTTCCCCGCCCCTCCCCCACCCCCCAGCCTGTGATGGCCACTGTTTAGGTGCCTGTGTCGACCCTTGAAAGGTGGGGCCGCTTGCCTCCCTTCCTCCCTTTCCTGACTGGCATCCCCGTACTGTCTTGACACCCCACTTCCTTGCCTTCCGCCCCCACCCTGCGCTCCGCTGGCCCCAACCCATATTGTGCTGACCTTCAAGCTCGCTCCTGCGCCTATACTGACCCCCCGGGGTCGTCTCCCGCCCCTCTGGCCTGCCCTGACCACCCCCCACCCCGACCTCGACCCCGCCCCGGCCCGGCCGCGGAGGTTCACCGCCCTCGGGTGCTGACTCCCGCCCCCCCTTGTGAGCACAGGCACCATGCGGCCAGTGCGGCGCAACTTCTACGACCCGTCGTCGGCGCCGGGCAAGGGCATCGTGTGGGAGTGGGAGAACGACGGCGGCGCGTGGACGGCCTACGACATGGACATCTGCATCACCATCCAGAACGCCTACGAGAAGCAGCACCCGTGGCTCGACCTCTCGTCGCTCGGCTTCTGCTACCTCATCTACTTCAACAGCATGTCGCAGATGAACCGCCAGACGCGCCGGCGCCGCCGCCTGCGCCGCCGCCTGGACCTCGCCTACCCGCTCACCGTCGGCTCCATCCCCAAATCGCAGTCGTGGCCCGTGGGCNTAAAAATCATAAGTAATACCTAGCGTCTATTAAGTATTCACTTTGTGCCAAGAGTTTAACTAAGCACCTTAACGCTCGTTTATCTCCAGGAATGAGGACCCTATGAGGGAGCGAGCGTCGTCAGCCCCAATTTACAGATAACGAACAATTTGCAGCATGGGGAGTGTTAGTAACACATCCCGGATCGTGCAATTCACAAGTGATGGAGCCATAGCTCCAGCTACACTGGTTTTGTGTGCGCGCGTGCTCAGTCGCTCACTCAAGTCCGACTCTTTGCGACCCCATGGACTGCAGCCCGCCAAGCTCCATGGACTGCAGCCCGCCAAGCTCCTCTATCCATGGGATTTTCCCGGCAAGAATAATGGAGTGGGTTGCCATTTCCTCTTCCAGGGGATCTTCCGGTCCCAGGAATCAAACCCGCATCTCCTGCACTGTCAGGCGGGTTCTTTACCACTGAGCCACCTGGGAAGCCATAATGGTGTATAGTCCATGTCTGCTATTTACTAAATTCTTTTTCTGCACCATCTCATTTACTACCCACCTCCCCCACCCCCCAATTCTATCATGTCCCTATTACAGATGGAGAGGCAGAGGCTGAGAGAGGTATGATACTTCTGAGGGCCACCCAGGTGGAGGGCAGGGATTGAAATTCAGAACTGTGGGATTCCTGGAGTCTGTGCTGTGTTGTCTTTGGAGTTGTAAAGGGTTTCCATACCCTGCCCCAGGCCGTACCCATCTCATGTGGAGGCTCAAGCAAGCCAATATTGTCCAATATCTGTGGCCCTAAAGGCCACACCTGAAATATCACTATTACATGGGGCTAATACTATGGTTTTCAAGCCAGGCTTTAGGGACCCCTGAGACAACACGGCCTAGTGGCAGGAGGGGGGCTGGCCAAGAAGCCAGCCTCTGCTTTCATTTTAACGAGATCAGCCCTTTTTGGACTCTCTTTTGTGAACTGGTTTTCGCAGCAGGATTTCACTGAGGAAGGGAACCTGGATCATACCAACTTTGGAAATGCCTGGGTTAAGGCACCCATGCCCCAGGATATGGACCTAGTGAGCGTGTCAGCTTCCCACCCGGGAGTTCAGATTCACTTGATCTCAGCAGAGGACCCGACCCTGGAAGAGTTGGAATGAGGGAGGGGCAGAGACCTTGACCTTGAGATAGACCAGAAGGGAAAAAGGCAGGTGGGATGTGGGCTGTGGTGCCCAAAACCAGGAACAGGCACCAAAAGTCAACTCTGCTCGCATCCCTCTGGCATGACCCAGGAGAGTGGTCATGCAAAGGTCAGATGTGGAGGCAACCTCTGAGATCACCATATCCAGGTCTTCTCTTTCACCAACAGAAACTGAGGCCTGGGGCCCTGAATCAGGCTGCCCTTCAAAATCTTTCTGGGCTTCCTGGTGGCTCAGACGGTGAAGAGTCTGCCTGAAATGCAGAAGAGCGAGTTTCAATCCCTGGGTCGGGAAGATCCCCTGGAGAAGGGAATGGTTATCCACTCCAGTATTCTTGCCTGGAGAATCCCATGGACAGAGGAGCCTGGCAGGCTACAGTCAATGGGGTCACAAAGTCAGACACAATTGAGCGATTAACACTTTCTTTCACTTTCTGAATCTCTCTGGCTTCCGAACTTTTGAGAGTCTGGCTGCTTGAGTTCCGATCCCCTCTTGGCAGCCACTTCTGAGCCATGAGATCTGGGGCAAGTCCCTCTCCTTCACTGAGCCTCAGTTTCATCATCTGTCCAGTGGGAGTTGTGTGCCTGATCATAGAGCTTATATTGAGATGGTCCTTCGGTGGCAGCCAGGACTACTAATGTTATCCCGGAGGATGGTTGGTATAGGGGGCAGGGGAGCTGTGATTTTCCACCGGAAGGACTACAGCAGCTGCCACCTGCCCGCCTAGCCCTCTCTTCCTCTCCCCCTTCCCCTCCAGATCATTCCTCTCCAGCATCCCAGTGCCCACAGGGAGGAGACCAGAGGAGGTTTGGGAGAGCATTTTGGGGAAACACTGCAGAAGGGACTCACCCATCTGGGAATCACAAACGGGTATTCATGCGGCTCCTTGCAGATCACAACCTGGCTCTGGCCGGGCTGGAGGGCCCTAGGATGACAAGAGTAGAAAACAAGTTAGAGTAGATGTGGGAGGGGTCAGAAGCAGAAAAGTCCCAGGTGCCTTTGCAGCAAGAATTCGAGAACCTTCTCTCCAGGGCTGTATCTTTGAAACCCACTAGTGGATTATGAAGTCAGAAGGTTGTAACCAAAATTTTCTGAGAATGGGATGGAATAGAGCCGAATAGAATCAAATGAAGAGAACAGAACAGAAAATATTGGCATGTGTCATACGCAGTAAGAATTGCTCCAGGAACCTTTTGCATGATTTCTACATGCGTTTCATGGGTCGCCAGGTGAAATGAATTTCTCAGTCACTGATGAAATTTTTGAAAACGGCAGTTTCAGGGCAAGCTGGGGGTTGCTCAGTTTTTATTGCTCGGTATCAATTCTCTAAACATGCGGGTGCATGTTCACAGAGCCTGATAAATTGGGTCCAAACTGCTGGACATACAGCCTGCAAATGAGTACATGAACGCAGCTGTTGGAAGGACAGGGAAGCACTAGGGAGGTGATGGGACAGGGTGGTGTGCTTGGGAGTAGTCAGGGCTGACCCTGCAGAGGAGGTGCATAGCCAAGGAACATCAGCTAAAAATACCCCTGACTCAGGGGCTTCCCCAGCAGTCTACTGGTTTGGACTGTGCCTTCCAATGCAGGGGACACAGGTATGATCCCTGGCAGGGGAACTAGGGTCCTGCATGTCTCAGGTTGTGACCAAACACATTTTTCAAAAATAGCCCTGGTTCAGAGTAGGGGGGTGGGCCCAGGACACGTGGAGTCTGCTGCTGAGGGAGGGCATGGGAGGAAGGAAGCATGGGGATGGCAGACCTTACTTCCTCCAGAGTGAAGCTTCCCATTGCCCAGGCAACTGAGGTCTCGGTGAAGCCCATGAGGGGCAAGGGACAGTGTCTCTGAAGAACCAGGCCCCCCACCTTTTCCCTGGCCTCCAGAACACCCAGAGCCCTTCATGGACCTTCCCACAGTCTCTCTGCTTCTGTGTTTAAGTCATTCGGTGTGCCTGGGCTGCCATAGCAAAGTGCCACAGACTGGGGAGGCCCAAACAACAGAAATGCATTGTCTCAGTTCTAGAGGCTGGAAGCCAGAGATCAAGGTGTTGGCAGGGTGGGTTTCCTGTGAGGCCTTGGCTTACAGACAGGCACCTTTCCCCTGTCTTCACATCGTCTGTCCTCTGTATCCCTGTGTCCAAATTTCCTCTTTATGAGAACACCAGGCTTATTGATTAGAGCCCGCTCCAATGACCTCGTTCATAACTTGATCACCTCTGCAAAGACCCTGTCTCCAAGTGTCTGTGAGTTTGGAGAGGGAGAGGGGTTAGGACTCCAGCAGGTACTTCCCTGGTGGCTCAGTGGTAGAGAATCCACCTGCCAATGCAGGAGATGCAGGTTCGATCCCTGGGTCAGGAAGATCCCCTGGAGGAGGAAATGGCAACCCACTCCAGTATTCTTGCCTGGGAGATCTCAGGGACAGAGGAACCTAGCGGGTTACAGTCCACGGAGTCACAAGAGTCAGACATGACTTAGCAACTGAATAACAAGAATAGGACTCTGATGTGTGAGTTTCAGGGCCAGACACAGTTGAAGACACAGCAGTGTGTCTGGGACTCTCCTATTACAGCTTTCTCAGTCTTAGCCTCTCTTTCAGTCTCTCTCTGTGACCGTGTCTCCCTGTCTCTGTCTGTCTCTTGCTCCTTCTCTCCTGCCTTTTTCTTTCCTTCTCAGCAGCTCTCTCCTTCTCTGTTCCCTTTTCTCCACCCTTCTTCTCCCCTGCAGAGAGAGGTGCATAGCTTCTCCTCCCTGGCCTCAGTTTCCCCATCTGTCAAATGGAGCTAAAATCACCCCAGTCCACGTATGCTGGCTTATCAGAACTGATGGGTGTGCAAATGTATTTAAAGTCACCACACATGATCGGTGCACAAAGGAGGGGTGAACTCAGACCTCATTCTTTGTCATCCTTCTTACCTCCCATCCCCAGCTCAGGATGGAGGTCCAGAGAGTGGCACTGACTTGTCTCCAGGTCACACAGCCAGCGGGACTACAGTGTCCCCCTGGCTGGGGTTTTTTCCCACTCCCTCCTGTGATGAGGCGGGAAGCCAGCTGGCAGCTGATGCCTGGGGGACGGAGACACAGGGGTGGGGAAGATCCGCCCTGTCTCCTGAGAGGGCAGCGTCCAGCACTTTGGAACACAGCTGTGGGGCAGACTAAGAGTTTCCAGCCCACGTGGTGGAGGGGAGAGGGAGGGGGAACAGCTGCAGGCCTGTTTCCATTTACTGAGCGCTCACAATGTCCCAGGCTCTGTCTCACGGCTTTTACATGCATCGCCTCTCTTGCTGTGCACAGAAACGGTGGTAGGTCCCATTATCCCCACTTCTCAGATGAGGAAACTGAGGCTCTGAAAGCCTGGCACTTGCTCAAGGTCACACAATTAGGACTCTGATTCAAAAATCCCAGTTGGTCACGGTATCAGGGTGGCCCCCTGGCTGCCCACTCCAAGTTTCAGACCAGGGTCACAAGGTGTTTGGAGGTCGAGGGACCCACAGCAGCTGAGTTTGGGGCCAACTTCCCTGGCTCCTTTCACTGTGTGACCCTAGTGGAGCCCATTGCCCTCTCTGGGCCTCAGTCTTTGCACCCTGTGCAGTGGGGCTGGCAACAAAGGCCAACAGGGGGGCAGATATCAAACTGCCTGCATTTCAAACCCACCCCCTAGCAGTGGGAGAGGGGCTTACCCCCACCGCCTCGAGCACATCCCTATCAGACCGGTAAGATGCTGTCATTGAGATGCTGCTTGCGTTTTCAAACCTCTGGTTCTTAGCCTGAGAACTTCTTCCTGTTTACTGGCCACCCGTGATTCCTTCTTTTACCAATCACTTGTTTGTTTCTTTTGCTTCTCCTTCTCTAGGGCTCTTGCCTGCTTTCTTATTGATCTGCAAGTGCTCCTTCTGCTGAAGCAGGGGGGATCTTTCCTTGTAGCTCACAGGCTTCTCTCTAGTTGCAGTGCATGGGCTCCAGAGCAAGAGGGCTTGGGCTCAGTAGTTGCCCCATGCAAGCCTGGCTGTCCCATGGCCTGTGGGATCTTAGTTCCCCAGCCAGAGATCGAACCCACATCCCCTGCATTGGAAGGTGATGCCTTAACCACTGGACCAACCAGGGAAGTCCCTCTTTTTACCTTCTCTATAGCCTATGCTGGTCTGTTTTTTTAATTAGTTAATCCTTCTATTAATATTGAGCAACTACTGTATGCCAAGGACACTTTGGGGGCCCTGGAGATCCAGCCATGAACAAAATAGACAATCCCTGCCCTCCTGAAGCTCACATTTCTAGAGAGAGACAAACAATAAACAAAATAAATAAATACTAGTATGTGATAGAGAGTAGTAGTGACTACCAAGGAAAAATAAAGAGAGGAAGGGGTGTAGGGAGTAGTGGGAGGGATATAATTGGAAATGAAGAGGTCAGAAAAGGCCTCACTGAGAATATAATGTTTGAGCAAGGATTGAAGGAGGTTAAGAAGCAAGCTATGCAGAGAACTGCATTGGGGGGCGGGGGGTGCTGAGAGCACTGTAGACAGCGGGAACAGCTTGCGCAAAGGCCCTGAGGCAGGAGCAGGCGTGGTTTGTGCGAGGAGTCCAGTGCGGCTCCAGAGGCAACAGGGGGTGTGCGGCGGGGGAGCAGGTCAGAGATGAAATGGGGCCAGTCCTGAAGGGCCCTGAAGCTGTGTCGAGGACTTTGGCTTTTCCTCTGTGGGAAATGGGAGCCAGCTGGTGGTGTGAGCTGGAGACAGGCCGGGATGACTTTGCTGTCGCAGGTTCACTCTGGACATGGAGGATAGGTGGGGGGTGGTGGGGTGGGCTTTGATGTGGCTGGTGTGTTTGGGTATTTTCCTTCTTCTTTTCATTTCCTGCAGTGATTTTACCTTTAGGTGTGAAAGCATTCACATTTTGTTCCTCCGGTTCTTTACTAGGTATTACATTTTAATGCTTCAGAAAACAGCAGTCCCAAAGGCACCCCGTGGAAAGTCTCTCCCACGCCGCGTCCCCGTGGGGTCTCTGGGCTGCCCACTCTCCCCTCTTCCTGGCCTTGCTGGAGGCTAGTGGCTGTAACCCTAGGGAGGCCAAACCACACACTCCTGTCAGCACCCGGCTGCCCCAGTGGCTGCCCCGGGCCGTGGGAACCGCCAGCCCTCCCCTCCCCTCCCTTCCCCTGCCTGGGCTCCCCGCACCACCCCCCAACCACCAGAGCAAGCAAGCAAAGCGGGCTAGAGACCAGGAGGGTGGGGGAGGTGACCTAGAGCCCCAGGCCTCCAGATAAACCTGGGCCCTAACTGACTACCACCCCTCAAAATATCGCTCCAGGGGACTTTGGTACTATTGAAATCCTTAGGAGTGGACAGGGTCAGGGACGAGGGGACCCATTTGACAGAGGGGGAAACTGAGGCCCGTAGAAGGTCAGCGGCTTGTTCAAGCAGCCCAAGGGGTGCTCGCGCGAGCAAAGGGGAAGCGAGCCAGGCCACGGCAGCCGTTGATGGTCTGTGGCTTTGGCTGGCCCCATGGGGCACCTCCCTGGAGCTTGCTGTGATGTTCTCAGCCCTCTGGCTCTGTGGGGGGTGGGGGTGGGGACTTGGTTGACCCTGGAGTGTGGGGGACAAGAGTTCAGGTACATAAGGAGTGGGCACTGAAGAAGGGGGGAGGCAGGTCACAGGAGCAGGTCCAGGGAGGTAGGTGCCAAGTGTTATTTAACTCCCTTCTCCCCACGATGTGGCGTTCCCACTTCTGCCCTGTCTCCACCCACCTGGACCCAAATAGCTGAGGCCTGAACCTCCAGGGGCTCCCCAAGGGGTCACGGGGTAAGCACCATGTGTCCAGGGAGGGCCTGAGGCCCATCAGGGGACCTGAAACCACCATCAGAGACTGTGACGTGTCT